TATGTGATAGCCTTTGGTGCTTCAGAGGGCTGTGGGAGCAACGGTGGGGACTTATAAGACTGATAAGCGGAGGACCGTTGGTGGTGTGGATTGAAGGAAGCTCTTGAGGTTTTAACTGGAGTACACAAGAGAGCAGATTCGTGAAGTTGGGCTATCCGAGCTGCCTCAGAAACGTTGGTCACCGGGAACTGTCGTGTATGGAGAGAAAGATGAGGAGCCATGTTGGAGAGGAATATGCTCAACGCGTGGGCCTCAGATAGTGGTATTCCGGAAGTGGCGGTTTCAAACTTCTCTAGATATACTTCAACAGAGTCATTATCTTGCTTCAGAGCAACCAGTTCAGCCAGAGGATCATCAAAAAGCTTATTGAACCGCTTAGAAATCGCAGCGACATAGTCATTCCAAGAGGGAAAGATACCAAACCTGGTAGACATGTAGTTGCTGTGCCATTGCCAGGCTTTCCCTTGCATATGTACCGAAACAAGGCGAACCTTCAATTCCGGCGGAGTACCATCGAGACTGAAGAACTGCTCACAGCGATCTAACCATTCTCGTAGCCTCGTTCCATCAAAAACAGGAAAACCCATCTTGGTTAAGCGAGATGAAAGCCCATTGGGAAGGCGAGAAGATCCATCCAGCATAAGATCTGTGCCGTTAGTGTTTTGAAAAACCCCACTCAGACAGCGTGGATCTGGTGACTGGAACATCTCTTGAGAAGAGACTCCAACAGGAGGCAACACAGATTTACCGGCAGAGATGCGATCGACCCCACTCAGATCCGGTGGATCTGGTAACTGGACCATTCCCGAAGAGGGAACTCCAACCGGAGGTGAAAGCGAGCTGGATCCATTGAGTTGACACGATCCCGAGTCACGGATGATATCGCGTTGCTGAGGAGACGTCAAGTTGGGAGTGAAATGGGTTAAGATCAGCGATTCGAGTTTACTGAAGCGAGCTTCCAGAGCTTCGAGCTGCTTCTCATGGTGAAACCCATAATCCCGTTGTTGATCGTCCTGAGGTTGTTTCTCCGTAGCGAGCTTGTCCATGGCTTGTTTCTCTTGGAGACGCGTTTCCGGAGGCATCGTCAGCGTAGTCCGAAGTCGGAAAGCTCTGATACCAATGAAACAGTAAATCGAGTAGGATGGATGATTCCGATCCAGAAGCTCA